GGAAGATTTCTGAAGGAGAGGGAGGGAGAAGAAGAGGTACATGAAGCGACATCTCGAGGAGGAACATGGCTTAGGGGAATGGGCATTTTGAACACCCCTGCAGTGGGCCTGCACTGCGGCTGCCGGATCACAGATCTGCAAACCAGCACATTTCTAGCTTATTCTACTCTGCACTTTGTTATCTCCATGGGCAGGGAAGAGCCAGGCAGGCTGGGGCACGCTTGCCTTTGTCCTCTCCCTCCAAACCACATCCTCTCCTCATCCAGGCGGGCGTTGCTGCTTCCAACCCCAGCAGGTCAGTTCCTCAGAGAATCGGTGGGGGAGCAGAAGAGGGATGGGCAAAGTCCATGTTCAAACATTGCCCCTTCCTGCACCCTATGAGGAGATGAGCCCTATCTGGGGAGGTGACACCCAGGAAGCTTTCATTAGGAAGAGCGGAGCATGACGATAAAGGTGGCAGCCCCTTCGAATGGATCCCTGGGGTTCCTGCTCCTCTCCAGGGCCAAGAAAGAGTCCTCAGATTGAGAAGCCGAACCGGAGATTCAGGCGGTCTTTCCACTGTTTGAGAAATCCAACTTGAAAGGAATCCCCTGCATAAATCCCGAGGATCAAGTCAGGAAACAAAGCAAGCTAATTTGCAACTCCCAGGAGGTGGGAGGGGCTCCTGCTGTGATACTCAACAGGCAGTCAGCCATAAGGAATCTCCTCTTTTAATTATGAGCTATCCATAACACTTCTTTCTGCCTTCCATCTCTGAACAACATCCCGGACTGAGAAACCTTAACACGTTGGGTTTCCTCGTGTAGCTTCCTTCCGGAAGAATCTCTTTGGCTTCCTGGGCTCTTCAAAGCTGTCGGGCTCCTGATCAGGCAAAGCAGGACCTCCCTGGTCTCCACTCATCCTGTTCCAGGGTGGAAGCTGATAATTTGGGCTATTGTCTGGTTTAAGGTACATCCCCTTTTTGGACCCAGATGGTAAGTCCAGTTTTGGTTTTCTGAAGCCCAGGAAGAACAAGGACAGTGATATGATCTCTCTCAGTTTTCCAGGAGATGGTTCAATCCCTGCCTACGTGCATCTCTGGAGGCGTTCGTCTCTGATGTCAGAGTTATCATGTCCAAGTCAGTACGAATGGCAGGGACTTCACAGATCCCAGCAAGCCTTCAAAGGGTGGGGGCTCTCCACCTTACACACAAAAAGCTCTTTACTCCTGGAGAAGACTTTTCTGCCCATGGGTGACCATTCAGGAATGCCCCCCCTTTTCAGCTAACCAAGTTAACCCCTCCGTCTGCTGCTGAAGAGCTGTGGTGTCTTGTGGAGAGCAAGGAAGTCAGAGGAAGAAGACCTTCTGGAATGACGAGAACAGGCACTGCATGACCTCCATCCATTGGCCAAATGCTGCAGGACGGTCAGTCAAGTGCACGGCATAAATAATGAAGAGGCTCATGGCTTCACCAGAAATGCCTCGTCATCAGAGACAGATCACAAACGTCCAAATGGATTCAGCAGACTAGGAGAAACGCCTCGTCATCAGAGACAGACCACAAACATCCAAGTGGATTCAGCAGACTAGGTCTGCGTGCCAAGCGAGAGTAGCTAAAAATGTTGCCCAAAATTCTGCGTATTTAAATATGATCTTCTGAGTCAAGGGAGGCTGAACAGGAAGCCATCCCTCCCCTCAAACACACAGGAAGGTGTGGAGGCTGCTCAAACACAGCGTGATGCTTGCCACGTGCCTATAAGAGCCCTTTCCTTCCAAAGATACCAAGGGATACCCTGCAAACCTAATGGGGAATCCCAAACATTTCGTTCGTCCTGTAGGATCTCTCTCCCTCCCCCCCCTCTCTCATACAGGACTGGAATTAGGGCAGCCATGATGAAGCCCGGAGGAGAAATGTCCCTGCAGTTTAGAACTGACATGGGCAAGAAAGAGAGGAGTGTGGCCTAGACAATTTGAGCCTTAGGGTTTTCAGGGATGTGAAGGTATCTAAGGAACACAGAACCGGAGTTTGAGACATCATCCTTTGTACAAAAGTCTTTATGCAACTCAGTACTGTGTGGTGGGCTGGCTGTTGTTAGCATCGCTCCAGACACGGAAGTTGCTTTGCTTTGCTGCCTGTTGTTTTTTGGAAAAATACTAGAAAATGCTCTCCATTTCCCTCTAGTGGCCGCTTTTGATACTGAACAAAATAATAATTTCACTGGCACTTAGGATCAAGGACAGAATAGGGTAAGTTTCAATGTGCCCTAACATGCCCTTTTGAAAACCACTAGGGAATAAATTGTTGGAATACTCATCATTTTGCTTCTCAGACGTTACTCAGCAACACTGTCATTACTGCCCAAAGTATACAATGAGTAACAAGCTCTGCATGGAATCCCTGAGACGACGCAACCCTTCACACAGCTGCTGAGGTGGCCAGCAGTTCCAACACACAGAGGATGGGCATGCAGGCACCGTGTCACTTACCGGCATGCCCACTACGACCTGCCCACTGATTTTTCTGTAAACCACTGCACAGCATGGCCATTACTGGCTTCCCAGGCACCTCTGCAGCTTAGAGGGATCAAGAACTTCCATAAAAAAATTCAAGGTATTAATGCCGACCTATAAACCCCCAAATGGTTTGGGATATTGCTACTTACTGACGGCCTCTCCCTAAGGTCAACTTCCCACGCCACTCACACCTCCCAGGCATTGATGCTCTGAGTGGCCACCCCGAGGGAGGTCAGGAAGACTATGACGAGGTGCGGGGCCTCCTCTGCGGTGGCCCCCTCTTAGGGAAGGCTCTGCCTGTGGAGGTGCCCCAGGCCCCTTCCCTCCTCATATTCAGGAAGCACATCAAATTTTTGCTTTTCTGGAAAGCATTTCAGGATACCCTCCCTCTATAACTGTTGGTTGTTTACTTTTATTTTGATGGTTATACCCTGTATCCTTATCTTGTTCCTTGCTGCCATCTGGAGTTTTAGATCTGTTGTTTTGTTATAGAGATATATCTTATTTTATATTTTTGGCTTGAGTGGGATTTTGACTCTTGGTGCCTGGAAACCACTGGAATGCATGCATGCATGCATGCATGCATGCATGCATGCATGTATGTATGTATGTATGTATGTATGCATGTATGTATGCATGTATGTATGTATGTATGTATGTATGTATGTATGTATGTATGTATGTATGTATGTATGTATGTATGTATGTATGTATGTATGTATGTATGTATCCCCTCAACCCCACGTCTGCCTGCCTGCCAGCTGCCCATCTCATAGAGGGCTACAGATCACGTGCCACAGCAATGTGTCTGTAAATGCAACCTTTCGCATTACTACTTCCAGACAAATGACAGGTTACCCATCTGTAATTGTAGTTCTTCAAGTGGACATCTGTGATTCACACCCTGGGTGATTCGCGCCTGCGCACACCCAGGGTGTGATTCACAGAGGCCACAAAGAAGAACTCTTACCATTTCAAGACCTGTTTGCTTTTGCCAATAATTTGCAAAAAAACAGAAACACTGCATCCATTCTCTCTCTGTCTCTCTCTCTGTGTCTCTCTCACACACATTTGCACGCACGCACACACACAGTCACCGAAGTCAGCAGACCTGATCTCTGCTGAACATTAAAAAAAACACAACCTTTTTTTTCCTGCATCTTGGACTGATAGAACCTGTTTCATCTTTGTTTGCTAGAAGACAATACACTTGGATTCCACCCCACCAATTGCTATAGGTTTTGTAGTTGTTCCTGCTGCCGTTTTCTGAATCATAAAATGGGCTAATGGCTTAATTGAAATTGAGAATATAAAACCAAATCATGCTGTGAGCTTGAAGAATTGTAAGACGTGGCATCTCCCACCTACAGTAATTGCTCGTTGACCAACAGGCTTGGTGCCCTGCTGGAGAGTGAGTCCTAGAAGCTGAAAATGCGAACTGACTTGCCTGCAAAGTGTATCCTGGCCGTGCCCCCCCCACCAGATTTCATCCTGAATGCTATGACCTTTCCCTGCCCCCAAGTTTGCTGGTGCATTTGACTTCAAAGCCATTTCCTCTCCTCCCCTTTAATTCCAGAAACTGGAATAATACGGTTGTGCTTTCACGGGCAAAATTAATTTGGCCACGGACCTGGCGGGAATCTGGGCTGCAGGCCACCGGTTGGGGAAAAAGGGGGGCAGGGGAAACGTTGCGCTCCATAACCTGACCCTTCTGGAGCAACCCAAATGGCGAATTGACCCAGGGACTTGAAGGCGAGGTGGGGGCAGCTGGAAAGAGGCCAAGCCGACCCGCGGAAAGAGGCGAGAAGATGCTGACTTACTTTCAACCAGCCTTCAAGCTCGCTGTCCGTCGTGTCTCAGCTCTCTGGACCCACTTCCACCTGGACCTCGTTGGCGTCGCTCCCTGCCCTTGACCTCACAGACCGGGCTCTCGTATCCGCCATGCCTCCAATCAATGTCGCAGCCCTGGTTCAGCGTCAGCTCCGAGAAGGCAGCCATCCCACTGAAACGAAAGAGACCATCTCTGGGCTTGGATTGCAGGCATTCCTCCCGCAGGCCTCTCTCTGGATGGCCAAGAGAGGCCAACAATGTTTATTTATGATCTTCCAAGGAGGTCAAGGCTAGTTATGGGGTTCTCCCTGCTCCTTAATCCTCAAAGGAACAGGCCTATGTGGCTGAGTCAAAAAGGACTGCCCTGAGATCACTCCATCAATCCATGGCGCTAGAACCCAGAACTTCCAAAACACCATGGCTGGCTGTCAATGGGCGGAGCTGAGCCCTGTCTTCCAACAAGGGAGATGCCTCATCCTGGCCATTTCCTCCAAGACTCCTTCCTGTCCATTGGCCACACCAAGGGGGCTTCATTCCTTGTGGCAGGATCCATAGCTGGTCTCACCCCAGGGTGGTCTGAATTCTACCCACACACCTTCTAGGACCCCTTCTCTCACCCAGAGCCCAACACCAGTGGGTGCACCAAAGCACTGGAGGGTGTTTCTGCTCTCCCCTCTCCTTCTACTCTGTGTTTCAGCTGCAGGATCCCAGCCAGATTCATGGATTAAGCACCTTATGAAACCAACCAGAAGAATCCTAGCCCTCTCCTTGGGCCACCTCTTGCTACCATGGGAAGTGAGCCAACTGGGAGAGGAAGCACCCAGGGGTGGAAGGGAGGGCACAGCTACCCTGTGTGGGGTTCGACCCAAAGGGGGCCCATGGACAGCCAGATGGGGTTCTGCCTCTGCCTTATGCCAGCTGGGGGAAAGGGAAGCCCCAGCAACAGACATCAGTGCCACAGCGACATCAGACACAGTGTGCTGCTCATTCAAACCACAGAACTCTACGTCTCCCAGAACTGTTGGCCCTGAATGCACTAACAATTCTTTGGTGTGTATGTGTGTGTGTGTATGTCTGAGCAGATGCTTTCTTAGCTCTTCCTGGAGTTCCCCAGTGGTCACTCATGCAAACCAAGCCCAAACCTGGTTAGCTTCTGAAACCAGACAAGATACTTTCAAGGTAGTATGGCGGAGTCCTTTGGGAAAACACCGGGGTGATTTTTGAACCTAGCACTGCTTACTCCATGCTTTTGGAGAAGTGTTTTCCATCAGAGATGGTCTGAACGTTCCTTCAATATTCCAGCTCAAGAGAACCGTCAAGTCTTGAGCTGGGAAATCTGCTTCAGATTTTAGTCTGAACTTTAAACATTAATCAAAGGTGTGGAACCTAGTTTTGGAGACAAATCTCAGCCTGTTAGAGAGCACCTGTAAAGTTCAGGTCAAAACCCGGAGCGGGCTGACTGCCCTCTTGCGCTTCAAGTTAACATCCTCCAATCGGGCGAGGTCTCCCAGGGAGCATGGTGTCTGTTGCCAGATCCATCCTCTTCTACCAGCAGGAACTAACAGCCTGAACTACTCTTTGGCAGAGGGGAGGAAATGGCCCACTTGTCAGGGGGAAAAATCCATTTACCACATGAGAGTGAAACAGGAAAATGGGATGAGGCAACCAACCCAACAAGCTGTTTGCTCACTGCCACTTATACCGGCTCTCTGCGTGGCACACGGGCTATTTACTATGCAAAATCAGCCATCTATGCCATCAGAGAAATGGATTGTGCTGCAGGGGGAGAGCGGCATAAACAGGAGGAGAGGGAAAAGGGGAAATAAATAATCCATGCCCCTTCTTTCTTCCTCCATCAGGCAAATGGAGGCAGCCCAGGTGAAGCACTCTGTTGTTGTCTGTTTATAAGCCCTAATGTTTCCGGGCAATTTCCCACCCTTGAAACACAGAGAAGCTGCCTTTAGCTTAGCTGGAAAGATGGGAAGGGGGTCAACAGCAGGTGGTGGAAGGTGGGAAAGCCCAGGGCTCCTGCCCTGACTGGGCTTCTGGGGAGGGAAGAGCAGCATACACCTCGGACGGAGGGGTAGGAGAACCCGACATACGAGGTTCGGTGCTCTCTGCACACATCCTGGTCTTCCACCCTCATCGGGGGCTGAGCAGAGTCAACCCAAAATCTACTTCCCAGCCAACAAGCTGTCACGCCAGGCCAGACATGAAAGGAGCGATGGGCAAAACAGTCCAGCGCTGCTTGGCTGCTTGATCTGTTCAAACCGCTAAACACCCAACAGGCTGACAAAACACATTCTCCTCATGGCCGTGACTTTTTCTATCCTTGCAGATCCTTGCAACCAACCCTCCATTTGGGTCTCTCACGTCCAGACCACCAGCGTGTTTTAGATTGGTTTCTGGATAAGCGCTTTGATCAAGTTAACTTTATTTACTGTTGACAGATATTTCTCAGAGCCGAGCTGATTCTTAAGCAAATCACCTTGGTTACTGGCCCAAAGTACGCAGCATGCCCGAGTATAAACCTTGGGTACCCTTCGAATCCCAATTTTTGGAACGGTAGCTCTCAACAGGATAAAATAAATCCACGGGGG